TGGGGGGGGGGGGGGGAGACAGCATCCTGGGAGAAAAAAATTAAAATTAAAACATTAAAATAAGCCTTGCCTGCATACAGGAAGTTTTTACCAGAGAGTTCCTGGCAATTCCTAGAACTACTTGGAAGTGAAAAGGAGTAGCTCTACAAACTGCCGGAATCTTTGTGGTAAAACCAGAATTTCTTGCTATAGAGTGTCCAATGATTCCTAGAGCTACCCCCTTTCACTTCCAGGTAGCTCTAGGAATTGCCAGGAACTCTATGGTAAGAACTTCCTGTAAGTAAATTAGATATTTTTTTCCTTAATTTTCTCCCGCTGCAGTTTCTAACAGCTGTAGGCAACAAGATCTCAGGGCAGGGAATCTTGAATAGAAACCTCTGCAGAATTAACCTTTTGTGCAAAAATGAATAAATATATGCTTTTTGTCATATGAAGGATAAGTTTTGAAGGAAGTGTGTGGATTTTTTGTTGCACTTGATCACTTGCAGTTCTATTGCACTTGCTGTTCTATTGCAGTGGAAAGGTAACAAAAGATAAAAGAATATTCTTCTTTTGAGAATGTGGTTCATTACATTTTAAATATATATATATTTTAAACTGAAATAAGTAACTGATTCCACATAACAAAACAGTTCACCGACTCCCCCAAATTCTGTTCTTTTTCTGGAAGATAACTGAAGCAAAAACCAATCCATAATGAAGCTGCTAAACAACAGTGGAGCGGAACTGAGGAAATCCGTTCATCCTTATAAGAACATCTGTTCAAGATATGAAATGGTATCTATTCAAATTCCCTGAAGTAAAGTTAGTATTTAAAATAAATCTAACTGCCCATGAGGCTTTTCTGCTGAAATTACAAAATGATACCATATGTTATTTGATTCAGAACTACTTCCTTTTGGGATTTAGCTTTAGTGATGTTACAACAAAAAATGTTATTCCTAGTTCAAAAAGCTGTTTTCCTTTTGATTTTATCAAGACTTTCTTGCAAAAATCTCATCTAAACTCGATGTATTACCAACAATACTGACAAACAGAGAAAACATTGTGCCTAATATGATAAAAGAAATACAGGAATTCCCTGATTTCTTGAATTAAAAAGAGAATTAGGGATCAGCAGCAAGACAACTAATGTCTTCCTAGGGAACTAAAAGATTCATCTCAGTCTATTTGAGGAGATTTATGCCTTCAGTGTTACATTGCAAAAACCAAGAATTACTTAATCCTTTGCTGGAATGCCACCAACAGACCAGACACAACACTGTTTAACAATTTAGGTTCGGATGTTTGTCAAGATTATTCTCAAGAGGACTTCTACAAAAAAAGGTATGGGATGGAACACCAATGTAATGTATTAGGTCATCTGGCCAGTGCATCCTTGTATTACTCCGTCCATACAGTCAGGCTGGAGACTAGCACACACTCTGCTCAAGGATATGTACCTTGTGGGAACTGACTGCATTGAAAACCCATGAGTTCAGTAACAATAACCACCTCCCCTTTGCCAACTGTGGTCCCCAGTATCTGTAACACTTCCATACCAGTACTTTTCAAAAACAAAAGAAAGTTGACACATCAGCAAATTGTAAATAACCACCTACCTTTAAGGACTGCAAGTGTAATCAGACCAAACTAGCAAAAATACTATACAGGGATGGATAATGGTTTGGAGACATTTGTTTTTTATATATATTTGGAAGACTGTCATACGTGTACATTAACTTTTTTTACTACTCATAACCAGGTAAAGTGAAGCAAGTCAGTTCACCACCAAAATGTGAGCAAATCTTCAAAGTTAATTTACTAATATATTTTATTGTAGTATGACACTTCCATTTTATAGAAAGCTTACTGCAAGTATTTCAGTTCTACTATATACCACATGATTGTGGCTACCCTTACTGCTACAACAGGAATAAAATGCAGGGGGTTAAGGGAAATGAATTTAACTTATACATCCTTTCACACATACGATATCTATATAAAAGTTGTGTTTTGAAATCCTGAGATAAAGCAATGATTTCTCTGCTAAAACTAGTCACATCAGTTCTGCATGCAAAACAAACACCAAAACAACATTCATATGGAAGTTGAAATGATGACAAGGGGAAAGACTAAAAGGTGTAGTGGAAATGGTCAAGCAGTGTTTCTTTTGTAATGTAAATGAA